AGATCAATGTTGACATTAAATTTGCTTTCAAAAATAATTTTTCTCTTCAATGTCTTCTTTGGACAAATTTATTTATTGGATATCAGACGTCTTTATTATTATATGCATGATCACAATTTTTCGCTTAGTTCTTTGTTGAAATATACGTTAAGAGCTGAACACAAAAAGCACCAACGCTGTGAAGACTTCCTTCTATTTATTTTCATGAGCGACCGTTTGTTTTTTCTTGCTCTCACCTCATTTGCACTTGTCGGCCTGCAATCGGCGCGAACAATCGCTTCTCAGGTGCCGTATGTTCGTTCGTTCATCAAAGTGCACGACCTGCTCACGGCGGTGGTTGAGAGGAGGCTGGTAAAAGGAGAATGACACGGCCACAATGGACCATCCGAGCGAGCATCAACGAATCCCTTTTTATGAATGATTGTGCTCCACTCATTCTTCTTATCGCCTCCGGATGTTGTGAAAAAAGAGCGAAATTCGTTGCTGGCTGCGCGAGTTGGGGCCTCGCGCAAAAAAGGAATGAAAAAAAAATAACACACGCGATGCTTCGCCCGTCTCGTCTTTCTGTCAACCGAGAGAGAGTATCGTTCGTTTATTTGCTCTGCTTGAATGAATCTCAAGTGTCTGTTTGAGAGAGCGACAAAGTAGCATCAACACACGCATTTTATGACACCTCCCGCGAACGTGCAGGGGCCCAGCACCGTTTTATCAAATGAGGTCGTAAAATCTCGATCGGAAACCGTAATCGGGTTTTATTGAAAAATAAGCCACTCCACAGCAAAACAAACGATTTGAAAAAGCTCTCTCGACGGGCCTGTTTAATGTTTAAGCAAATAATCCGGCGCCTGATTATTTGATAAACGATCAGAGTTCTAGGGATTTCGACGGAAAACAAATTTTTGGCGTTTGAATCGGAGCTTCTGCTAATTAGCACCTTTGATAGCAAAAAATCTGCGAGTGACGTCAGAAATTTAAAGTGGATGCTTACAATAGTTGATAGAAATAATTTAGATAATTTGAATCATTTATGAGGCACAGACTGAATTAAATTTTTTATAAATCGGACATAAATTTTATTTTTAAAATTCACGGCGTTTCTCATTAGCTCTGTGAAATTTGATATTATAAGATTGAAATTTCTAAATTTGAATTTTCTATACATTTTTAGTTCTGATGTAATAACTTTGGCGAAGTTGTTAATGCAAATGTAATTAATGGAAAAGAAAAAAAGTAAATATGAAGTTTGTATGGAGATGCAACTAAAATTGGCCCGTGGCCCAATATCTTTCAATTTCATGTGCAATTAAAATTTTAAATTGTGTCATTTTAGCGCCATTTTTCCAATAAAAATTTTCCGCAGAGGCAGCGTCAAACTATGAGTGAGATGATTTTTCTTTGAAACAAGACACAAGTCCAACCTAATTTTATATGTTAATAAAGAAAGATTCTTTCTAATTCATGTAACCTTAAAAACAATTTAAAAAAATTTTTTTTGGAAGATTTTTAGTTTTAATTAAATTTTATACCGCTTTCAATTATTCATGATAACTTTATTATTTCAATGGTTGTAGATTGTCTAGTAGAGAGCCTTCATTGATTATTTCATTTCGCAGGTGTCAAATTTGCATGGATTCAGTTTCGCCAACTGCTTTGTTAGCTTTGTGCAAATCTACTCCAATGTCGCTGACTGTGCACATTCCACACAATGTTCGACGCTTCCTCTCAATGGAGCAAACAAATATTTGGTTTGAAAAAATTCATTAATTAACGTGGGACTTTCCTTATGCAAATCAACCGGGAAAATAAAGGATTTGCCGCTTTCTTGGTCAAAATTGTGCAAATATTAGAAATGCTGCAGGAACAAAGTGATAATTGAAACAAGTACTATTGTCTATAGGTATGGATTCTCGGAAACGTTGAGGAAAAGGCACGTGGCCAAATGCATAATATGTATTCCACCTGTATATTTGCCCATCGTACTTTCCTCTTGCTGTTCGTTGAACTTTTCAAATTGTGTCACGCTGATTAATTCCAGAACCGTGTCATTTGTTGACATCACTTCCCTAATTATCTTCCGGTTTGGGATAAAATAGCTCTGATGGTTTTCCAATTCAAAAATTAAAATTAAGAAGTATTAAAAATAAGAAGTTGCACTGATAACAATTATGTTTTACCAATGAGATAAATTGTACATATTCTTTTACCTTCCAATAATATTATAAGTAATAATGAAAACCAACAGATTTTATTGTAAAAAATTAAAAAGATTCAAAGGAATTACATTTTTTAAACCACATACCAAAAATAAAATTAATAATAAAAATAATTATATATTTTCATGAATTAAATTAAATTAAGAATAAAAATTATTTCTTTTGAAATAAAATGGGTTTAAAAATTAAAAATTAATTTATCTTATTGAGGAAGTTGGAATGTTCGAATGTGTCAAATCATATTATGCATTATGAAAATAAGATTGTAGATCTCGGTCGGTCGTGATTGTGGAACAACAAAGACTTGATCGGCGGGCGACTTGTGTGATCCGTCGCTGTGATTCTTCCTTTGTGTTTCTCTCTCGCCGTTTCGCAATCGCGTCTCTCCAATATTATTATGTACAGCTGGGCGCAGTGCATCCAGCGAGAAACAGCAACGTCACACTTGTAAAAAATATATAACACAAAAAACAACATGGCATATAACGTTAGGGGCCACTCGTAGCGCGTGCGAAGGTCGGGAGAGCAGCGGTGCCAGAAGAAAGGGAAACCCGCATTTTGGAGGGAAACTTAAGACTTTTGAAAGTAATTTATTATGCACACTACTGACCGCCCTTGCAGGTGTCAATTAAGATAGCATGGAAAAACGGAAAAGATAAGGATGTAACTTTTCATTTTGCATTTCCTGGAATTTTTCCATCCTTCCAAACCATAATAAAGATTGCTGATTTTTATTCACAGAAAGCTGAAAGTTTCTCCATAAATTAAGTAAAATAAAAATAATGAAAAAAATGGGGAGAAAAATAAAATATATGATAATGTTTTTTTGGTATTTGATTTATTAAAAAAATTGATATTTTTATTGAATATTCTTGAAATTTTGTATTCCTCATTCATAATTTAATAAAAAATTGCTACTATCGAAATTCTTTAAAATTAAATTACATTTGATTTATTGAAATTGACCTCTGACAATCAGTAGCATGTCTGGATCAGCAACATTGAGATGTTTTGCCAAGCATTATCAAGGCAGTGCTAAGTCCTTTTTGCGCATTTGCATCACTCAATACATTGAATGGTCAAATGGCACCTCGAATGATTTTTCGCAGCACTGCATATAAGTCTTATCACTCATGGCCTAATTTTATGATGGGTCGCACAGATCAAGGGTTGAGCCGGTCAAAAAATTGATAACTTGTCGCCCGCCTTATGCAACAACTCGCAAATAATTTGAATGAAAATCAGAAATGATATAATCCGACTGATTTTTGACGGTCATTCACGCAAATTCACAACCTTTGACTTGCAAAAATTTTTTGCAAGCTGATAACGCGGCTAAGAGGGTCACTTTTTCCCTCTTTCTCTTTGATAATTACTCTGTCTCATTATTGGACATATCTTTATATTTACACATTAAAAAAATCTTTTGATCTTTTCAATGGAAATAAAAATGACATTAAATTGAAAATTTATTAAATATTTAATAAATTAATTGTAAATTACAGGTAATAAATTTTTTTCATGATTTTTAATTAATGTAACTATTTTAGGAGTGTCCAAAGATTTTCTTTTGAGCCCTACGCGTACAACCTTTTTCCTGACTTATTCTATTTGATTGCAGCCGGCGGCTGCTTTGGACTTCCTGCGATAAATCGCGGCCAATTGGCTCCTTTGACAATTTAAAGGCCCTCGGTCATCTCATCATTGCCATTGATGAGCGATATATTGTTATTATTATGGGATCCAGTTCACTCACAGCACGACCGACGCCGCTTGCATTCAGCCGCGTAATCTGATTCCAGACGCGCTGTTTGCGCTGCATCAATATTATTCGTTTTTATCACGAGAAACGGCGGCAAATAAATATGTAAATTCTATTGCCCGCCGTGAGTGTTTGTGTTTGGTTTGTTATCTCGGAGACAAATTCAAAAATTAGTTGCACCACTATGGGAAAGAGCCTGTTGTGTTTTTCGTCTGATGAATAACGAATTTGACTCCGTCCAATAGACTTAAATTGACTAAATCACATAAATTAGCCATCATAGATCGCTGAACTACAACTTCCCTTTTAAATGGAATCAATTCTCTGAATTATATCCTAAACACAGGAATGTTATGGAGATGATAATGTCTTTTGGCAATATTAGTTTTATTTCCTTGCTCTGTGTTTGCTATTTTCCATGATTGCTTTGTATTAAATCAGTTTCAAAGTCATTTTATTTTAAATTAAAAAAAATGGCTAAGTTTCATTTAAGAATAAAATATGTGGTAAAGATATAGATTGCTCTGTAAATTATTGAAATTAATTGAAGAAAAAAATATCAAAATTGATAGATACATGATGATTTTATAATAAATAGGATGCAGATTAAAGATGATTTTCCATACTTTACAAGAAAACAATAAATTCTCCTCTCCATGTGACTAAATTGAGAAAATTAATTATATTTCATTTCAACTTATTTAATTTAGAATCAAAATAAATAAATGTTAATATTTTGAAATGGAATGGTAAAAATATATCACTTATTTTTCAATTGTCGGTGATGGAATATTTAATCGCCAGGGCCGCAGCCAAAGTGAAAATTTAAATTTAAAAAGAATCGTACTTTTTACAGAAAATAGTGAATCAATAATTGAAAAAATTACTAAATTTACTACCACTTGAAAGAACGAAATTTAAATTATTAATTCACCCATTGCCTTTTTACAATTATAATAATATTATATAATTAATCTTTAATTTTATAAATGTCGTTAAAGATGAATAATTTGTGCTTTTTCCAGGGTATTCTTGACGAGGACCTGGACAAGAGAGTGGACGAAATGTTGGAGAAGGGTTTGCTGAATGAGTTGCTTCAATTCCACTCCGAGTACAACGCCGAGCGACTCGCTACTTCTGAAACGTAAGTGTCGTTGCACATTTTTGCGCCCCTGTGCCATATTGAATTCGTCTTCACTTATGTGCAGATTAGTTTTACTTTTTTTGCTCATTTCTGGGTAGGAAGTGCACAAGAAAGTGCAGCCGCTCAAAGCCGCATCCAGCCCACTTGGTCGGCTTCCGCGAAAATTGAGCGCTGGCTAATTTAATATTTTAATAATTCGCCGCTCCATCGAGTTAAGGCGATAAGCTGTCTGCAGACACAGCCGCGGATAATTAAATTAGCGCAACTTTCAAGATTTTTGGCTCGCATAATGTGCCGCTCGCTCAGCACGCGTCTCATCAATCAATGCCAGTGGCGCGAATTACGTCTCGGTATTTATACTTTGACAGGCAATTCATACTGATTAAAAATTTCGTCTTGGTATAAGAGATAAAATCACACAAGGTTTTGTACAAAATAAATGCACCTCGGGTGTAAAAGAATATAAATTACCAACATTCAAAATTAAAAATCTTATCCGTTTAAAACAAAATTTTGATTGCAGAAGTTGCTGCTTAAGGATATGTTCAGGAATTAATAATATGGACGTAATCCTCATTGGATATTTTTATTAAAAAAAAAAAATAAAACTATTGGAATCATCACAAATTAACAAAATTAATTTTTGATCAATTACTTATATTAATTTCTAACTGACAAAATTGACCAGATTTTCCAAGTTCGATCAAATTTAAAAAAAAAAATGCTTACTATTTTTGCACAACAATGCAAAAATAAATGTCAAATTTTATATTCTTGAATAAGCTTTTTGAAGTTTGAAGTTCATAGTGTGTAAAACTTGGTGGGACAATAATTATTTCAGGTTTTCAGAACCTGTAAAGATTTAATCATGCAACATGTTAAACTTGTTATTTAAAACCAGCCAGCAAATGAACTGAACTGAGCGATCATAAAAAAAATTAGCACGATGTAATAATATCTTAATTTTGATTATTTAACGGGAAAATTCATGAGACAGTGCTTTTCGTATAATTTTATTTTTCGAAACATCAGGACAAATTAAAATTCAAGTTTTTAATTAATTGTACTTAATTGATTAAATATCAAATAGACTAGATTGTTTCATTCAAATTTCTCTAACCTTCATGAATTAAACTTCAAATAAAATGATGATCTTGAATAATTCCAACGTTTAAAGTTATTTCCATACAAAAGTACAGTCGGATACATTTCAAATGGAATAATCTTGAATATTAAATAATAAAACAGGAAAATCTTCTAAAATTTAATACATATTTTAAAACACTTAAAAAACAAAGAGCTTCCTTCCATAGAAAATAATTTTAAAATTTAACTTGCATTCTTTAAAAAGTGATTGTTAAAAAATTAACAATTTTTAAATAATTATCATTAGTAAATTGTTCAACGGACAAACTGAATAACACTTTTTTTCGCCGTTTAGTACTATAAAGTTGCCTGCGTGTTTGTCACGAATTACTGCTAAAACATGACTTTAGACGTTTATCAAGCAATTAAAAAAGTAAAACAATACATTTTTTGATGGAAAGCGGAAGCCGTAATAAACCCACCCGACGCTGCATGGAGCGTTTTTGTTTGCCTTTTCCTTAACGCCGGCCAGGAGAATTATTGCTCATTCTAAACACAACATTTGTCGCGCCATTATATTAAAAGTCAGATAAGTCGGCGGCCATAAATAAAAGCAACGCCGGGGACACGCGGAATCCATTGTTGCACTGTTTATTGCCATGCGGCGTGGATGCTGGCTGGGCTGCGAGAGCACGTCCTTCTCATACATACTCCGGAGAGAGGAAGGTAATCTCATCGCGGGTTGTACCTGATTTTACACACAAGAATGCACCGGCACGACCTGCCAGACACGAAAAATTATTTCTCTCCCGCCGCGGTGCGTGGGAATTTCGCGAAAATAAATTGCGCTTCGATAAATTAAGTACGACTATATGTAGACGAGAGTGACGAGGGGTTCCGAAAGAGCGTGGGTGGATTGGCAAAAGCACATTATTTCCACGGCGTATTGAAAGGTGTAATGAGAAAAAAGGAGCTTTTCAATGCCTTCCTAAAAGTTCACTGCACGCGAAATTATTGAAGCTTCAAGCTGATTCTTTACAATTTATTGAAATGTTTACCTTGAATATAACAAAAGTGAGAGTTTGATTTTATCTAGTTCAAATCCAATATTTTAAAATCAGTTTGTTTATGTAACATTGAAAAGCAAATTATTTTTATGGACAAGTAGAAAATGTTCAAATTACGTAATAACTTTGATTGTTTTTATAGAAATAACCTAAAATAAATTATGTTACATTCAATAAAAGAATATAAAATTTACTTGTTTCTGTAACCAAACAATGATCATGAAAAAATTTAGGATATTATTTATTTTAAAAAACTGCACTTTTGATTTGAAGCTTGTTACTAAAATTTAATCCCTATAATAATTTTGCGAAATTTCCACCCACCATATAATCACATATAATGATAAATAAATTCTCGTCAAAGCAAAGGAGTTTTTTTCAGGAGTTGCAAAAATATTAAGTTGATTTTTATTTATTATCTTCTGTTTATAAATCTATGTCAATGAGCTTAAGCAACCCGTGAGATTAATTTTCCCCTTACCTTTTTTGGCAATTAAATGCCCACGCCTCTCGAGCATCTTCCTTCTTTTTTTTCTTCACCCAGCCAGACCCTGGGTGGACAACTTTATTTAAATGTCCCTGGCTATGATTTAAAACAAGGCGTCGAATCCGTCTGGGGAGCGGATTAAAGAAAAGCCAGTTCTTTATTCCTTTCTCAATTTCACGCTGCTCCGTTTGCACTGGCTCGAGTTTCTTAAACTTTAAACTGCAAGCCACGCACTCAATCCCAATCTGCAATCGCCTGCAATTTCTCAACCGTGCAGAAAAAAATAAAATGCAAATCATTTTCACCTGATTTTGCGGAAAACGCTTGAAACTTCCTCTCCCATATTTTTTAAACCAACACCCGCAGTGTTTGTTTTCGTCAAGCTCGGCGGAAAAATGACCATGGGAAATCTCTATTTCCTTTTTCCTGACGTGTTTTACACGGCACGAGTCTCCGGGGGAAAACGCGTTGTGCATTTCGAGAGAAAAAAGCTTGCCTGCCTCGGCAATAAATAAAAAACTCTGCTGCTTGCAAGTTTTTCGAGGAATTTCAACGATCGGCAAAAACCGCCGAGCAGAACCGGCAAGGACGCTGCTGCCGGATCAGCACGCATATTTGCATGCTTAATTGAATTCGCCAGAGTGAACTTTGAAATTTGCCCGACAGTTGAAGCGCAACTGATTGTGAGAGGAGTTTCGGCGCAGAAAGTTATAAGTGGATTTTTTATTCCAAACAATAAATAATTATAAAAGTTGAATTAAAATTAGAAAGGAAGATAATAAGAAATAAGCTAAAAGGAAATCTAATCAATATTTTCAATAATTAACCACACAAATCAGCATGAATTGGAGTTACTGAAAATTTTGAATCAAAACCACATTTAAAATACATTTTGAGAAAAATTAACGAAAAATCTCTCAAACAATAATAATTATTTTTAAAGCACTTATATTGGTAGTCTTTGAATCTAATTTTGGTTAATTTTTCTAATTGTTTTCCAAAAAAATTATATCGTTGTAAATACTTGATCTCACTATGTCAAATGGATTCCTCATAAATAGGGGCAAAATAATTTAGTAAAAGAATATAAAATGTTATCTGCATTTACCAAATTCCACTTTTATTTTGTGTATTAAAAAACAACAAAGTATTATTAATATTAAATTATCTCTAAATAAGTCAATGTTAAATTTAGGCTTATTTTTAGCAAACAAAGAAATCTTCACTCATTCAAAATATTGCCTTCCAGGCCAATGCCAAACAGGTTCATCGGCACAAACATTCCAACGCCCAAGTTGCTCCACTCGGCAAATAATTTTTGATAATGCCAACGGACCTCTTTTCTATTTTCTACGACAGCATTCGGAAAACAATCTATTTTTAATGTTGACCTTGGGCCAGACACAGGCGGGTGGCCGATCGCACTCAGCCAGCTGTAATTGTTGCAAATTTCGTTCCGCTCGGATTCGCCAGTGAGCACCAGGATGAAGATTTTGCGACGGCGAGACTGAAGAAAGTACAAGTTGTGGTTTTGACCTTGAAATTCTCATTCTCTCCAATCTTGATGTCATCCATGCACTCGGATTTCGACGACGACGGTGACAAATTCCAAGTCGTTCCATGGGTCAGAAAAAAAAACTAATCGACTTGTTAAAAAAAAACATGAATTTTTAATTGGAGGAAATAAATATAAAAGTGAGGAATTCATTTCGGTTTCGAATTCGTGGAGCAAAACGAAATCAGCGATACCTTTCAAGCTCGACTGCGCACGTGTCTGAAAGTATTAAAATTTAATCATTCAAGACGGGAAGTTTGAATTCAAAAATAAAAAGTGTACTTCTTAATGAAGGCCGACGATTCCCTCAATCGTCACGTTCTTACTTAACTAGACAGCTTTAGTGACCCCGTGTCGGCCCGAGCATGTTTGCAAATCACTTTGCAACAATAATCACGATAATCATCATCATCATCTGCTCGCTCTTGCAGACGTTTAAATCCCCGCCGACCGACCGACCGGCAGCAGCCGCTGCTGTCAAAGGAATTCCTCCAAGGAGAGAATGAGAATCTGAAAGACGCAAACGCTAATTCGCAGCTTGCGTTTTGTGTTTGCGAACTTGGCCGTGCGTCAGAACTCTTTCAAAAACGCACTGTTGTTTATTTAAAAAAAAAAAAAAAAAAAAAATGAAACTAATTTGATGTATCAAAAATTAATTTTGGCAAATATTTAAATTGAAAGTTAATTAATTTATTTTTCCATGACTGGTTTCATTTTTCTTGAATTATAATTAAAATGGAATTTAGATGCTAAAAATGAAAAATGTAATTATTGCCGAATTGTCAAATTTCTTATTTAACAGAGA